TCCATTGGAGCCCTACAATATCCCAGTCCTTTTGTTTTCATCTCTGGAACTACCTTGGACAGTCTGGGGGGAAAGAATCTCTGCAAACCATGCAGCTCCACAATGCAATGCAGACAGATGTCATTTTACTGTACATCTAAAGGAAATTGCTTTGCAATGACTTGTAACACAACCTGTAGTGTTTAGGTGCTTGCCTGTAGCACATTCACCAGTCTGAACACATTCTCAATGTCTACATTAAGCTCCTGTAAACCCGTTTGGTAGCTAGACATCAGATACATTCCTATTTGTTTCTATCACTTCCTGTTAAATCCTATTTGACTGAAATTCTTCATCTTTGCTCTTTCCTTGAAATCTGCACATTTGAATCTGATCACAATCCATGTACAAATGAGGATGGAAAATAAGCTAGCTCTGAAAAGACTTCTACAAGCACCCATCTGAACAGGCTTAAAAGGCTGAAGATGCTGAGACAGTGAGGGACCCATAAGCTATGTAGCAATTAATCCTCTTTCTCTCACAAATGGACTTGAAAAAGTGCAAGCTGCTATTTGCCTGATTAAAGGGAATTCTCAGCACATTTCCGGTTTTGCCAGGGGAATGCTGCTGTTAACTGTGGACATGTTGCTTAGGTGCTACGGTCTCAGGCCCTTGAAGCTCTTCATAAGAGAGATCAACCCCTCGACTGAAACTTGAGCTAGCGTAACAACTTCTCTTGACCCCAGAGGAACCACAGGTTTGGCAGTACAGCAAGTAAGTATTACACCTTGGTTGAGTTTTGTTTAAATCTCAGCAATCAAGGTGAACAGAAGACCTTCCTTCTATATGCCCTCACTTCCACGGCCAGCAGATGAAACGAGAGCAGAGAAATTCAGATTTAGAAGAAACACAGCCCTCTGCCTGCTCTTCAGTGGAGAAAGAGGCATGATAAATAAGGGAAATCCAGCACAGGAGCTGGTAACAGTGATTAAACCACGCAGTGATCAACATTATCCGCTGTAGGAATCAACCTTTAACAGTGTAACACCTTTCTGAGGAGGTGCAGAAGTGGTTAAGACGCTGTATCCAACCTGGCACTTACCTGTCCACTGGGGAGGGTGCAGGTCCCACTCCTGCCCCACCTGCTGGCTCTGGGCAGGGCTGCAGACAACACAAGCTTTGGCAGATCCTGCTGGATGGCTGTGTTTAGGTGACATAAGAAGGACATGGAAATGCTGAAGCAAGTCCAGAGGAGGCCATGAAGAAGATAAGGGCCTGGAGCATCTCCCATATGAAGACAGGCTGAGAAAATCAGGGCTGTTTAGCCTGGAGGAGAGAAGCTGCATGAAGAACTCACAGAAGCCTCCAATATCTGAAGCAGCCTACAAGGATGCTGGAGAGGGACTCTTTGTCAGGGATTGTAGTGATAAAACAAGGGGTAATGGGTTCAGACTCAAAAAGGAGGGATTTAGTTTAGATACAAGGCAGAAGTTCTTCCCTGTGAGGGTTCTGAGGCTCTGGCACAGGGTGCCCAGAGAAGCTGTGGCTGCCCCATCCCTGGCAGTGTTCAAGGCCAGGTTGGATGAGGCTTGGAGCAATCTGGTCTGGTAGAAGGTGTCCCTGCCCATGGCAGGGGGTTGGAACTGGATGAGCTTTCAGGTCCCTTCCAACCCAAACCAGGCTGGGATTCTATGAACGTGAATCCCATCACACACCAGTCAGCCACTGATCTGGTTTGTTGTTGGCAGTAAAACTATCTGGATGTTCTGCCATCCCATTCTAGAGAGGACAAAACAGGACAAAACTGCTTCTGAAAAATCTCCACTCCCACCTCCCTGCACCACCCAGGATTTGGTTATAATCTATCCCTCACATATATCCTCCCCCCTGCCCTGCCGCCTTCTGCTGCTCCAATGTCTGTAAAGAATGGAACCTACCTGAGGGAAGCAGATCACCTATGACTCAAAGAGCATCTCCTGCTATTTTAGCTCTCCATGGGGAGCTGATTATTCACACTTTGTTTGCTGGTTCAACTTATTTTTAGTTGACAGAAACAGCTGTGAGGGGGAGAAGAAATAAGGAAAAATAGCCAACAACATGATTAACTTTTTATCTCAAAACACTTCTCAATTAAAAGAAGATAAATATTCTCTGGGCTGCTGGTTCCGCTTTTCCATGTCAGCAGCTGCTGTGCTCCCCAGGAACATTACACAGCTCTATGGATGGAGGTGGAGGTGGATCTGAATGGGAGAAAGCTTGTCCACAGCAGCTCATAGCCCATGGGGAGTGCCTGAGGGGCTGCCCACCCCAGCATAGCCAGCACTGTGGTGTGAGCTCAGAAAAGCTCAAGCAGCAGAGCTCAGGCTCCTCAACCATAGAATGGGATCACTGGTGATGGTTCAAAGCTCTCCTGACCCCTTGCAAAGGTGTATGAGCTGAGAAGCATCCAGAAGTTTGTGTTCAAGCGATGAAAAGCACTTGTGAAATCTAGGGGTGTCCTTAAATAAAACACACACACACTATGAGGAAGAGAACTTTCTGGGGTCAACAGCGTTTATTCAAGGTACACAAAGTGGAAAAGTTTCACATTGCAAATTGTGACACAGTCATTTCATGTCCCACAAAATGACAGCCCCTCTTGCTGCTGCTCTTTCTAAAAGGCTGAGGAAAATCCTCAGGTGAACTAAAGTAGGAGCTGATTTTCTCTATGTTGCTCTGTTTGCCTGCCAGCCTTTTCAGTACCCCTCTTTATCACCCTCTGTACTTTGCCTCCTGAGAATCAGGGCTTTCCTCTTCGTCCTTGACTCGGGTTTGAACTCTGACTCCCAATTGTCTTCCTAATTCCCCCTCAGCCTCATGCAAGGCCACAAGGGGGGCAGAGCAGGGCTCTGGGCTGTGGGGTGAGACTGCACTTCTGGACATCAGAAATGGACTCTGTCACAGAACCATGGAATCAGCTGGATTGGAAAAGACCTTTAAGATCATCAATATCTCTCTAGTAGTGAGGGATCCAGAACTGAACACAGGATTCAAGGTGCTGCTTGGGCAGCCCCATGTCTTTCTCTAGCAAGCACATTCGCCCTGCTGCTCTTGCTCCAGCACTGACACTCTTATGCCGCAGAAACTCAGGTTGCAAGTAGATGGAAATAAAGCACAAGCAAGTTTGCCAATGACACCAAGCTGTGTGGTTCGGTTGATACCCTGGAGGGAAGGAATGCCATCCAGAGGGACCTTGACACGCTTGTGAGGTGGGCTGATGCCAACCTCATGAAGTTTAACCATGCCAAGTGCAAGGTCCTACACCTGGGTCGGAGCAATCCCAGGCACAGCTACAGGTTGGGCAGAGAAAAGATTCAGAGCAGCCCTGCGGAGAAGGACTTGGGGGTGTTGGTCGATGAGAAAATGAACATGGGCTGGCTTCAGTGTGCGCTTGCAGCCCAGAAAGCCAACCGTATCCTGGGTTGCATCAAAAGGAGCGTGACCAGCAGGTCGAAGGAGGTGATCCTGCCCCTCTACTCTGCTCTCGTGAGACCTCACCTGGAGTATTGTGTGCAGTTCTGGTGTCCTCAACATTAAAAGGACATGGAACTGTTGGAACAAGTCCAGAGAAGGACCACGAGGATGATCAGGGGACTGGAGCACCTCCTGTATGAAGATAGGCTGAGAAAGTTGGGGCTGTTCAGCCTGGAGAAGAGAAGGCTGCGTGGAGACCTCATAGCAGCCTTCCAGTGTCTGAAGGGAGCCTATAGGGATGCTGGGGAGGGACTCTTCATTAGAGACTGTAATGATAGGACAAGAGGTAACAGGTTAAAACTTAAACAGAGGAAGTTTAGATTGGATATAAGGAGGAAATTCTTCACTGTAAGGGTGGTGAGGCACTGGAATGGGTTGCCCAGGGAGGTTGTGAATGCTCCATCCCTGGCAGTGTTCAGTACCAGGTTGGACGAGGCCTTGGGTGATATGGTTTAGTGTGAGGTGTCCCTGCCCACGGCAGGGGGGTTGGAACTTGATGATCTTAAGGTCCTTTCCAACCCTAACTATTCTATGATTCTACGATTCCCATAGTAGTTGTCTGGTGTAGCTCCCTTGGCTGGGCAAGCCTTGGTGCCACAGCAGGTGGGGCAGGGAAAGCTGCTGCCGGATGGGGCCTGGCACGGGGGAGGGAACCAGGTCCCACAAGGGAGCCGGGGAACTGAGCCGGCGGGAGCATGGCGGCGGCCCTGCCATGGCAACACACTCACAAGGCGGGGGAAGCGGGGTGCCCCGCCGCCCGCACGCATGCGCCGGGCAGCTCGAACCGCCAACTGTCCCGATTCGAATTCGCATCCTCGCAGTCCAATCAAAGCCCGCGGTCCAGAGCGGGCCCCGCCCCCCGTCGGCCTTCCAGCCAATCACGACGTCTGCTGTGTTTAAAAAAAAAGTGCGCGCTGCCGGTAGGCGTCGCTCAGCAGAGCAGAGCCAATCGCGGGCGGGAGGCGGCCTCAGGGGGCGTCGCCTGGGCGGGGCGCGCCGCCAGAGCCTTCTTTGTCCCTCGCTGAGAGGCAAGTGGAGGGCGCGGCCGGAGGGCGGGGGCGTGGCCTCTCGCTGGAAGCCCCGCCCTGCGGCGGCCGGTTCTGCCCCGCCCCCCCCTTCCCCGGCGTCCCTCAGCCGGAGCCGTTCCGGGAGCGGCGGGTGCTGGTGTCTGCTCGGTGTCTGGGGACGCACTGCGATGAAGGCGGGCGGTGAGTGCGTGCCGGCCCGCTTGCTCCGGGGTGCTGCTTCCTCCCTTTCCCTCCATCCTCTGCAGCTCTGAGGAGCGCCGGCCGCTCCGCGGGTCCCTCACCCCTCTCTGGGCTCTCTCTGAAGGCGGTGGGAGTGGGAGAGCTGCGCCCCGGGGGAGCGGGCATTGCGCGGGCTCCGCTGCGGCTCTCGGGCGAGCTGAGAGGCCGGCGGCAGCGGTGGCGGCTGCGCGCCGAAATTCAAACAGCGGCGGCGGGAAAGGGGATATTGGCGGGGGAGAAGGGGCCGGGGGGCTCCGGTCAACCCGGGCCGCGCTGCTCAGGGTTCTGCCGCCTCGCCGGGGTGTCGGTGAGTGGGGCCGCGCTTTTCCCTCAGCCTCGCTGGAGGAGCCGCGGCAGTACCTAGCGAGAAGCGCTTTAGCGCTTCCAGCTCCGCAAGTGGATATTGAGGAATGTGGGTTACGATGGAGCTGCCGGTAAGATGGATCTCGGCTGCTGGGCTCAAATGGATAGGTGGGAAGCCCATTTAAGCACAGGAAAAAGCAAGCTTTAGGCTCAAGACGGTGCAAGTTGTGGAATCTGCAGGTTTCCAAACCTGGACCCAGCTGGGTGAGCTCCGCAGGGCTCTTCCAGCCCCAACCACTCTGGTTTGGGGAGGCAGCCACTTGAGAATTTTCTTTTGCGACTTCCTGGCCTTTGAAACTAAATTTTCTCATCCCTGAGTTACCCAAGTACCCCATGCCCCCCAGTTATTTGGATGTTCATTTTGGTATAGCTGGCATACCAGTGTGGAAGTCCCTTCCTTTTCCATGGCAATAGTGGTGCTGAAGTTTGTTCCAGAAAGTGGAAGTGGATGCAAAGGCAGCAGTGTTCTGCCTTGCACACATCTAAAACCTTGTATTTTCATGGGAATAGCTTTTTTAATCAAAGACAGGTAAACGGTAACGTGCTGCTTGTGAGATACTGGGTGCTATTTTGTGTCAGGCTGGTGGTTCATTTCATTAAACCTGATGTGCCAAGGACGTTAATAGCATGTAGGAACAGGAAAACATGTATTAGCTCAGTGGTAGCCATGGTTCATGGACCCTTTAGGAATTTGCAGGCTCCTGTTAAGGAACCTGCTGACAACCCAGCTGACCTCCACTTTGCAAACTGAAATCCCAGTATTAAGTAATTGAGTCTGATGCATCAATTCTGCTTTGAATAAACTGTCTGTGGGCTCTGCAGTTTGTGACTGCTATCAACTGGGAAAGAAAAGTTGAGCTTGTGGTAGGTAAGTGAAGTTGCAGTAGTGACAGGTTAACTAAACACAGTCAAACGAGCATGAAGGGTTTTTTGGTGAAGAGAACTCAAGCATGAGCCATCCCTTCTGAGCCTCTCAGCTTAATTAACTAAATTGAAGGGGGCACTTGCTGCTCTGTGGCTCAGTCTTACAGCATTATATGACCCATTTTAAACTTCTGTGATTAATATGTTTGAAGAAGTGTCCTGTGCTGCAGTAAATAGGTACTGAAGTAAACATGTATTTAGGTACATGTGTGCTCTGTATTGTATTTTCTGCTTGTACTGTTCCATCACTAACAGAGGCGTCTCCTGGTTTTATTTTCTAGTGATTCACTGTAGGTGTTCCAGATGTTTTTCTTTCCCTTCAAAACGAAGGGTAAGAAAGCGGCCTCGAGTCCTGACGTTGTTAAGCCTGCCTGAGGATGTTCTGTTCCACGTTCTGAAAGGCCTTCCTGCTGAGGACATCCTCTCAGTCAGAGCTGTGAGTCCACTACTGCTTCCCCTCTGTCCCGCACCATGGCTGGTCTCTGCCTTTAGGAGCCAGGACTGCACAGGGGGAAGGGTGGCTTCTCATATCAGAGTAAACCTGAGGAGAACCAAAGCATCATACATGCAGTAATTAGGTTTTTGCTACCCCAGTAGCAGTTTTATTTCTCAGGACTCAGTCTGAAGAAGATTAGCATTTGAGTGTTCTATGTAAATTTTTTATGGGAATTGTCCTACTAGATGACTGTGGCTGAACAAACTGGTTTGGCCTGGCCTGGCCTTAATGGGGATTAGACAGGTAACAAGTTATGATTAGAATCATGGAATCGGCTGGGTTGGAAAAGACCTTTAAGGTCATCAAGTCCAACCATTCCCCAGCACTGCCAAGGCCATCACTAAATCACATCATTAAGGGCCTCATCTACACAGTTTGTAAACACTTCCAGGGGATGGTGATTCCACCAATACCCTGGACAGCCTGTTTTAATGCCTGACCACCCTTTGGGGAAGGAATTGTTTGTAATATCCAGTCTAACCCTCCCATGACACAACATGAGGCTGTTTCCTCTTGTTCTACCCTTTTTACTTGGGAGCAGAGACCAGCCACCTCCTGGCTCCATCCTCCTTTCGGGTACTTGTAGAGGCTAGTAAGGTCCTCCCTGAAGCCTTCTCATCTCCAGACTAAAGCCCCCCACTTCCCTCAGCAGTTCCTCATCACACTTGTGCTCCAGACCCTTTACCAGCTCCATTGCCCTTCTCCGAACCTGCTCCAGCACCAGAATGTCTCTCTTGTAGTGAGGGGCCTCGGGCTGAACACAGGATTAAAGATGCAAGCTCACCCAGTGCCCAGTACACGGTAACAATCACTGCCCTGGTTCTGCTGCCACAATGGTACTGATACAGGCCAGGGTGCTGTTGGCTTCTTGACTGCCTGGGGCACAAGCTTGCTCATGTTCAGCTCCGTCAATCAGCACACCAGGTCCTTTTCCATGGGCAGCTTTCCAGCTGCTCTTCCTCAAGCCTGTAGCATTGCATGGGGTTGTAACTTGTAACTAATTTGATACCTGTCTGAAATCAAATTGCAAAGAACTGTTTTTCTGTTGGTCCTTTTATTTTAGTAATTCTTATTTACACTGCCCCTTTGCAGGTGCATTCACATCTTAAATACCTTGTGGATAATCATGCTAGTGTTTGGGCATGTGCAAGTTTCCAAGAAATATGGCCGTCTCCAAGCAATCTGAAGATGTTTGAAAGGTAAGCTTTAAGAATCGAATTTGTCTGACCTCATAGAAGAGGCTGTTTTTTAAAGGTAGATACATAATTCCAGTGAGTCCTCACTATCAGTGGGAGGATCTGACCTTCCCTTTCTGTAGAAGTCTTTGCTCAGGGTGATAAAGGATTGTTGATTTCATGTTGAAATTGAAGCTTGTAACTGCTGTCTCTAACTGCAGCAGAGCCCATTACATGTACCAAAGTTATTTCTCTTTAAGGGCACTAATATTTAAGGAAAGATAGCACATTAACTAAAACCTGCTACTGGTGTGTTCATATGAATGTGCAAGTGACATCAGAGGCTGAAGAGCATAACCATATTTCTGAGTCTAAATTGGTTTGTGCACTTCTTGCTCACAAAAGTATTGAAAAATGGGCACATTACAGTATTAAAATGAGTAAGGCTTGAAAGGATGATGAATGTGCTTAAAAAGTATGGAGAATGTCTCTATCCACCTGATTTGAAGGGCATCTCTCAGTTTAAATGTCATGATAGTTGTTTTGCTTCAGACTATGTGTGTATTATGTTCCTTCTGAAGAAGACTGCTTATGTGCACATCAGTTTGCAAGGGAGGAGTTCAAGGGCTTGATGCATGTCCTTGAGGGTACAGGAACCAAAAGATGTTACTGCATTCTGTTGTTTCGGGTGTTGCATGGGAATGAGAAACCATTCCTGTGAATTGTTAAATTATCCTGGATGGGGGCATACAAAAGGATTGCAGCAAGAAAAGCCTCGGAGTAACTTGGGTCTAACTTCTGTAGTGACAGTACTCTACAGTTGCTGATCACCAGGTGACATCCTGTCCTCCACTGAAGTAACTTGCTTGAGAATGTGGGCTTGGAGGCACCTCCTGATGTCAACCTCAAGTATCTTTTTTATTTCCCATTCAGGGCTGCTGAAAGGGGTAACTTCGAAGCTGCTGTGAAGCTGGGCATAGCGTACCTGTACAATGAAGGCTGTAAGTGTGGAAGCTTGTACTTAGGTTTTTGGGGAAGATGGCACAACAGAAGGAAATGTAGATGAGCTACAGACTTATTTGTAGGTACAGATGAGACTGTCTCATCATAAAGCTGGCACTTTTACTGGTTGCTTACAAAGCTATTTCTCCTGTATCTCAGACACTGGTGGTTTTGTGCGTAATTCTACAGCAGTGAAGTGGAGGGCCAGTCTTCTGTGTTCAGTGGGTGGTTGGGTCTCATTTACTGTGACACCTCTTCAGTGCAGCTTTAGCACTAGCCACTAAACTGCTAGGTGTTAAGTGATAGTATAGTGCACAGCTCTTCTAGAGAAGTCAATGCATAGCTTGTGATTTCATCTTTAGAAGTTCTCCTTTATAAACTGATCAGACTTGGTTATTTACCTCATGTGATAAATGTAAGAGAAGAGGCTTACTCCTTGCAGAGGGTACCTGCAAGGCAAGTGGCTTTTGTACCAGTTTGTTTACTAACAGGAATTATCATTGCTTTGGCTGCTGCTATTTGCAGAACCACCTCCCTCCCCAACTTAGGGTTTTATATTCCTAAAGACTGATTGCAGAGAGATTTTTCTTGCCATCTGCATGATTTTTAAGGCTCTAAAAGGAAGATGCTGATCAATCTTTACCTAATTCTATCCTTTTGTCTGACTTGGCCTGACTAAATCCTAAGCAGGCATTGTGAATAAACTCTAAATGATTTCCGGCTGGTTTTGTTCAGTGTCCATATCTGATGAGGGCCGTGCGGAAGTGAACGGATTAAAGGCATCCCATTTCTTCAGCCTGGCAGAGCGTCTGAATGTGTCTGCAGCTCCATTTATCTGGCTTTTCATCCGTCCTCCCTGGTCCCTGAGTGGAAGCTGTTGTAAAGCTGTGGTCTATGAGAGTCTCAAAGCAGTGTGTCAGTTGGAGAAAGTAAGATTTCCTTCTGCCTTTGACTTTAACATAGGCATCTGGTTATTTCAGAAAATGTATTTTATTTCCCCAAGTTGCTCCTATGCTCTTGTTGCTTAAATGACTGTGGATCAATCATTTTAATGAATTTATTGCCAAACCACACTTGGTGGTATATCATGAGTGCCAGAGGCTTGTACTGTGTCTCCTGAGAGAGACAGTAAGGTCTCATAGGTAACAAAACATTGGGGAAAGGAAAGGGGAGGAATGATTGAAGGGCAAATAATACTGTACTCTGGAATTACTAGCAAAAATTGCCACTGTTCTTTATCTTTAACAATACTTTATCTCAATTGCTTTCTTCAGGCTGAAAAAGGATCTATTCTCCACTGCTTGGCCAAGATCTTGAGTCTCTTTGAGGTGAGCAGTGTTTCTGGTTTGATGTGCTCAGGTACCTTTTTTCGGTGGTGCTAATGCTGCTTGCCTTGATTTAAAAACAAATAATCAGTCAAATGCTCTTATATTTCTCAAGTAGGTTAGGAAATTCTGCTCTCATGAGTTTAATTTGTTGTTTTTTTTTAAAGGAACATCATCAACTTAGTTTATTGGATTCTACAAACAGTGAAATTAATTTTGGCTTGATCATGGGCTTGCAGTGTGTTCAGGTCTGAAAGGAAGTCTTCCAGTCATAATGCATATCCAAAAAAACAACCCAGTTCTTCAGTGGCAAACAAGCCAAAAAGTTTTTGTCTTGCTGAGGGAAACCACTGCAGGCTTCCTGGAACTTCCAGTGGCAGCGCCGAGTGGATGTGGGAGCTCATCCCTCATAGTGTGAAGGGGACTTGTAACTGGTTGGTTCTGCTCTGTAGCTTTCAGTGGGTTCTGGAGTATTGAGACCTGGCATCTGGTTGGTTGGACAGCAAAAATATCATTGTGCCTTTTGTTCTCAGGATGAAGAAAAAAGAAAAGAATCCCTCGAAATGTTTGAAGAATCTTCCAAGGAGGGTTGTTTAAACAGCTCCTACCTCCTTTGGGAAAGCAACAAAAAGGCTTCTGTAAGTAGTGTGTTTTTTTTTTTTTTTCCCATAACAGCTTCTTTCCTGTAGCTTCTAGATCTGTTATGTATGAGTGTACACAGAAGGAAATTGCTGTTCCTCAGAACTTACCTCCTTCATAAACAAAGAGAGCACCAAGAACTATCTTAAATGAGCTTTGTGTCTGCCTCAGTGTTTAAAGTGCGTCTACGAGCAGTTGTAGCCAAGATGCAAGCAGAGTTCCTTTATTACTGACTCTGCTGGCTAGTGATGATATGACTCACTGCGGAACAGGAGAGGGGAAGCTGCTTGCATGATCAGCAAATCTGCCAAAGCTCTCCTGTTGGAATCCCGAGTGATCTGTCTCATTCCTGTGAGACCTTGGACAAGAATTGCAGCCAGGTCCTTAGAAACAGCCTTGTCATCGTGTTGAGAAACAGGCTGTTTGTGAACTAATCCAAGAATCCACAGGACGTGATTTTTCTCTGGATATTAGTACTACAGTCCTGTTCATTGTGTAAAGGTGATGGGGTTTAAAATCTGTTTGCATTCCTCTCTGTAGATGTCAGATCCTGGCAGATACCTCCAAAGTCTCAGGAAACTAAGAGACTTTGCAGCGAAGGGCTGCTGGGAAGCACAGGTAAGACTGACTTTTCCAGGAAAACAGACTTTATTTGGTCTTTCTATGTGGCCACTGTAGGTTTAGACTCCTCCCTTTAGAAGCAGGGTCAAAATTGCTGAGTAGTATCTCTGTGTGTGTATATTTACTCTGTCGGTCCCAGTCTTTTGGAAAAGACAGCTGGCCTCTAGTACAATCTGAGTAAAGACACATCTTTTGATGCACTTAAAAGCCTGCCCCAAATAATGTGTGTTCAAGTTGAAGCCAAACTTAAGATCTACTGATCCAAGTAGTTTGTCATGTTTGCTTTCTAATTTCAGCAGGAAAATTACAGGATCCTGTCCTGCTTTAGTCTGCATTTGATAAAAAAGAAACAACAAACTTTCTTTTGTGTTCTCTCTCCTACAGATAGCTTTAGCCAAAGCTTGTGGTAATGGAAACCAACTAGGATTAGAAGCAAAATCTTCCAGTGAAATAGTGTCTCAAATCTTTCAAGCTTCTCTTCCCATCAACAAGCAAAGTATCTTCATTGTGCAGAAAGGAATGAATGAAACAATGAGGTAAAAACTCAGATCCAGGAGTCAAGCCACACAGCAGAATCTGTTGCTTATTTCCCTCTATGTCTGCAGAGGGAAACAAATCTACAAGAAGGTCTGTTGGAAGATAGAAGTTTTTTGCTTTTCTCTTCTGTGATGCATCATGTACAATCAGAGAAACACACGGCATTTCACAGAGGAAGTACCAAAGCCCTTATTTCAAGCCCTGATGAAGACCTGAAATGAGGGTGTGAGAGTTTTTTCTGGACTCTAAGTTCTTGCATTTGTCAGTACTAACCAAGAACTGGAGGCACTGTTTGGCTTGTTGGATTTACAATTACTCTCTAGTTATTGTAAGTGGCATTTAGCCTCCCAACTGATGTGCCCTACATTTTCCTTGTGCAAGCACCTATTATAGGACAGTTTCTAATTCCATTTCACAGACACATTAAGCCTGTTGACCTTCAGAGTCTAACAGGCCTCTGGTTTTAAATCCTTATCTCAGTGCAGCATGTCATTTTTCTGATAATTCTTTTGGTGCAATTTTCTGGCTTGGAACTTTGGAGTGAAGAAGGGACTTGGTAATGAGGAATGGGGAGGTTGTTCAGCATGCTTTGAATGGCTTCTAACTGTGCAGATTATGTCTCTTTCCTGTCTAGGTACATCCTGATTGACTGGCTGGTGGAAGTGGCTACCATGAAAGACTTCTCTAGCCTATGCCTTCACATGACAGTGGGATGTGTGGATCGTTACTTGAAGATGAGACCTGTACCTCGGGCTCGACTCCAGCTTTTGGGAATAGCCTGCATGGTCATTTGCACACGGTAGGGTTCTGACTGGTGAACGGAGGCTCTTATTGTGATCATTCAAATTCATTTCTGCAGCTCAAACTTCCTCTCCCCTACTAATAAAAGTGCTAGAAAGAATCTTTGTCTTTCTTCTACATTGACTTGAGCTGTGTTCACATACAAACACAATCACTGCAAATGAGGCACAATGTAACTCCTTGAACATGTTTTTAAATATGAAAAACTCCATAGTGGTGGAATTTTTCATATTTAAAAATATGGTCTAAATGCATTCAGTCAGCAACTGAAGTCTTTCATGCCACGTTAGCATGAGTGGGTTACTCATAAGGAACAACTGCAGCAGCGATGTTGCATAGTTTGTTGTGTTGAGATGAACCACATGTTGTAGTGTAAAATTATTCTTCTGTGATTGTTTCCTTAATATCTTGCATCTTAACCTAGGGAATGTTTCATAAATGAGGAATTCTGAACATTGTAGTAGGTGGTTCCAGCTTAAAGGTGAAATAAATTAAGAGCTGCTGTTCTTTCTTTCCTGGGAAAGTAGCTTACAAAGTTGTTTAACCCTTTGGTCATCTTGGGTGCATTTATCTGCCACAAAAAAAAATCAGTGCACAGGTTTACACATTCACTTTCTTCTGGGGCTGACTGTTCCTACTGCAGTTTCATCAGCAAAGAGATCCTGACAATCCGGGAAGCTGTGTGGCTCACAGACAACACCTACAAATATGAAGACTTGGTCCGAATGATGGGCGAGATCATTTCTGCCCTAGAAGGAAAGATAAGGGTGAGTTTGGAAAGTGGACAGAGTATTTCACCCCCTGGGCTGCTGGTGAAGTCAGGCTATTGCAATTAGCCCTTCTCCTTATCTAAGAGGTTGGTTTTATGTGAGTGTTCTCTAACAACTGTGGAGACCATCTGTATTTCAGAGCATGCAGATACAAAACCCTCTGCCTTTCTGTAGAGATTAAAACTTAAGCCATTTATTCTTTCACTGGAGAATGTTTCAATGTCAGTGTAGTAGTTAGAAAAACAAACAAAGTCATGATGTAATGAGAACAGCATCTCCTATAAACAACTGTTCTAAATACTCAGTGCTTGTCTTATATTCCCAACCTCTGTTCTCCTCTCTGCACTAGATACCTACCATTGTGGACTACAAAGATGTATTGTCAAACATTGTCTCACTCGAGAGAAGAACTCTTCACCTTTACAGCTTCATTTGCGAACTGTCACTCTTAAACACAAGCCTTTGTGTGTATTCTCCAGCTCAGGTGGCAGCTGCAGCGCTGCTGCTGGCTAAGATACTACACAGGCAAGGTAACAAACCTAGCCTTAAGTGGAGCTCAGCATGGAATGTCAGCCTGCTTTGTCTCTTTAGGAAGCCTTTAGGGTTTTGGGGGTTGCTTAGTCTTTAGACAATATGTCCCAATCACTTGGCTGGGGGAGGAGGCTGGGTATAAGATTTCAGAATGAAGAGCTGAGTTTAGTCCTGGTTACCTCTTAATAGCTATAATGAACAAGAGTCAGACTATGCAAACTTTGTGTTTAAATGAGACTTAAGATTTCTATACTTAGGTATAACTTCAGTTTGGCAGGTAAACCTACCCTTGAAGCTAATTATGAACTACGTACAGGGATAAGCTTGTAAAGATCATGATCTTTACCACTTAAAAACATGTCTCTGGTTACAAAACTGCTAAGCTCTGTGCAATTGTAATGTGTGTTCTCTTCCCAGCACACCCCTGGACCAGCCAGCTGTCTGAGTGCACTGGTTTCTCCCTTGAAGACCTCCTGCCCTGTGTCCTAAGCCTCTACCAAAAGTGGTAATAATTTTGGAACTCTGGGAGGGCACATTTGTACTTGGATTCCAGCTCTCGCAGACATGCTGCGCCAATAGGGTCAGCCCTTCCCAGTGGCAGAGGTGGCTTTGGCAAACTGCCATGTTTCCCCTGACACAAGGCACAAAGGGGAAACGGGCCAGTTCAGGGACAGCTCTTCTATTTCTCCCATCTGGTAGTGGCTCTGGGTTTTATGCTCCTCAAGGCTTCACAGGTTTCAGCTTGCCAAACAGCTCATTTTCAGAAGACTGAAACTGGCTTATTGGGGAGCTTCAGAAGGAGTTCCAGGAGCGCAAGTACCTCGTTTTACAAGAGTACAAGGCAAATATTTTGATTATTCTCAGGAACAGAAAATGAATTAGATTCTTATATGCTTAGAAACCAAGTGTCCTATCTAGCTGCCTAGTAGCTCTGCTGAAACACCAACTTCCTTAGCACAGAGCTGAGATGGACAGAGGGAGCTGGGAGCACTTAATATTGTTTCATATAATCCATTCTAAGATTAGGGCTTTAATATTTCTTTCCAGCTTCCACGATGATGTCCCAAAGGATTATAGGCAGGTGTCCTTAACTGCAGTGAAACAACGATTTGAGGATGAGCGTTATGAAGAGATAGGCAAGGAGAAGGTGAGTGAGCTCTTGGTCTGTCTTTCCTGATGTCTGATACCCAGAGCAAAGCTACCATACAGCAGGATGTGATAAGCTGTAAATAATGGGAAGTGGGTTCTAACTTCAGACTTTTGGAGAAGATATCTAAAGTGGTAGCTTTAACCTTGATCTGTGGGACGTTAACTGCTCTGTTTGAGTACATGTGGGAAGAACTCACTGGGATAGATTTCTCTTGGAAAATAAATAGCCTCCTCCTGGCTATTTATTCTTCATGGGAATCTCATGGTCTAATTCTTACTGGCTCTTCAATTTTTCAGATGATGAGTTACAGCCAGCTCTGTTCAGTGCTGGGTGTGAAACAGGAGGACCCAGAGCCCAATCCCTTGCATACAAATGTGGTGGAAATTCAGACTTTCCTAAGCTCTCCCTCTGGCAAGAGAACTAAAAGGCCAGTATAACTCCTCACTGTAAATGTTGCTGAAGATCAGCATGAGCTTTTCCTCCTCTGGTATCCTGAGGTTTCATTCTTAAATATGATAAATCTTTCTGTAATTACCTTATCATACTTGTGAAAAGAGACAGAAGACTTGGATTTTAATGTGTGACTTGTGGATTTCCTTGCTACAGGAGGAGGGAAGACAGCATTCAGGATGACAGAGGCAGCTTTGTGACTACACCCACAGCAGAGCTATCCACCCAGGAGGAAAGTCTTCTAGATAACTTCCTAGACTGGAGTTTAGATTCCTGCTCTGGTTATGAAGGTGATCAGGAAAGTGAAGGCGAGAGAGATGGAGATGGTGAGGGGTTTGTTCTCCTTTATAAAAGCAGATGAGAATTAAAACAGTCTTTTTATCTTTGCTTAAAACTGTTTCTCAGGCAACAGAAGCCTGAACTTTCAGCTGAAGACCAGTTGGAAAAACTCTCCCCCTTCCCCCGTGGTTATAACTGTTGAACTATTTTAGAGGTATATATCTGTTCTCTTTCTCTAGACTGCTTCAGAGTGTGATGAAGCGTCTGTAGCTGCTCAGTATTTCAAAGGGAGCCTGTTTGCAGGTCCTGCTGATAGTGGACAAAATGTGATGTCCCACTGAGTTAGACATGCTGTATTATCAATCTTGCTGACTTTAGGATTGGCTGTTCATTTTCTAAACAGCTCTTGGTAGCTATCCAAACAGTCGGGGGGGGGGGGGAGAAAAGATTCTGTTTTAACTGGAAAGGGACTTTTCACAAGGGCAGGTAGTGATAAGACAAGGAGGAATGGCTTTAACATGAAACGAGAGAGTGAGATATGGCACTAGGAAGTTCTTCCCTCTGAGGGTGGTGAGGCACTGGCACAGGTTGCCTGGAGAAGCTGTGGCTGCCCCATCCCTGGCAGTGTTTAGGGCCAGGCTGGACAGGGCTTGAAGCAACCTGGTCTATTGGAAGGTGTCCCTCCCCATGGCAGAGCATTGGCACTGGATGAGCTTTAAGGTCTCTTCCAACCAAAACCATTCCATGAAATGAGGGTGACTTTAGTGCTCTACCCTCCCATGTGTAGGTAGACATTAAATTTCCACTCTCGGTTGATTGTTTTCTGCTTGAATGCCTGCTTGGTGTTGCCCAAATCAAAACTAATTTTTTTCTTTCACCATCCTGCAGTGACAAGTCCCAGTGGGATCCTGGACATGACAGTGGTTTACATGGATCCTGCAGAGCACTGCTGTCAGGACTCCAGCGATGAGGACAACCTAACTGTGGAGTGGAGTGGGCACACAGTGCCCCTGGGCGAGGCAAACCTGCTGGATGACACTCAGAGCCTTTCAGCATATCTAACACCAAGAAATTCTAACCTGGAAGGGAGCTCAGGCTACTCTTCTGTCAACAGTGCCAGTCCTATGTCTTCTTTAGAAGGCAGCCTTGGAGTACCTCTGAAACCTACCTCAGCACTGTCTGCTGGCAGTGCCAGGAGCAAGGAGCCATACCCGCCTCACTACCTGGAACCATGTTTACAGTCAGCCTGTGCTAGGCCTAGCACAGGCAAGCGTGACAGAAGGCAAGTCAAGAGGAAAAATGTGGCAGAACACAGTGAAGAAAGGGTCAACTTGGGCTTCTTCAGCCTCTGATTTCCTCATGCTCTTTTCTGAGATTTCTGGAATCAGTGTTTCTGTTGTAGCCATACAGGGATGATAGTGAATAATTGTCAGTACCTCCAAAAAGAGCCCTTCCCCTCAACTTTGCTTATGTCCCTTTTGTAACCTGTAGCTCACTTCTGGGCCACTTCCTTCCTTGATAACTACCTTTTAAAGTATTCCCTGTTGTCTGATCCTCTGCAAACTAAGATCCTTCTCCACATAGGAAATGTTATAGCTCACTTCTGTCATACCTCAACAGTTATTCCTTGGTGATAGGAATGAACTTGTCGTGTCCTTGCTTCGCTGTGAGGCCTGGTACCATAAATGAAAGGAATGGACTTTGGTTCTCAAGTTATTTGCTGGAACACTATGTTTGAATTCTTCCACTTGAAAGACCTTTTTGAGGATGTGCTGCCTTTTCCTTCTGGCCAGGTACTGTCTCACTTAGCTGGTGCTTCCCTCTTCTATGTATATACCATTTGCTGCACTGATACAAGGTTTTTATGGATACAGTCAAGGTAAATGAAGGCTCACTGCAGGTCTGAGCTTCTGTTTTACCTACCTCTCAGATAATTTTTAACTCCATTGCCTCTGGCTCTAGCTGCCATGTTTTCCTCCCCTAAAAAGTCCTCCTTTTGTGCCTTAACGCTTTACTGCCGAGTGCTCCAGTAACGTGATCTCTGTGAACTGTTAGTCTCTGCTGCAACTGTGGTTGAACTGCTTCCTCCAGCTGCTGCCTCCACTTCACTTTGTGTCTTGCACAGTCTTCCTTGCTGTTTCCATTAACATGTCCTCAAGGAAAGCACAACTCGCTTGAACACTAGACCCAGGCAGCAACACAGGAAGGGCAGTCAGTCTCTTACTGAAAGCCTTAATTTAGGCCTTCCTATTGGCACCTTAGCTGCAAGGGCAGCATCTGCTTCTCTTGCCAATGATAAAATCTGTGCTGGCCACCTCCACTGACCTCAGCTCAGCAAGCCTGGGCTACATCTCCTTCAGCCTGTGAACATGAGAACATCTTCCCTTGACAAACACCACTGAAATACCAAGGTACAAGACGTGCAGGAGACATCACTGAATTGAACACTGGAACTGGACTCTGCCTTTTCCTCTGGTTAGAAGTTACTGTGGCAGTCGGCAGCAGTTCAGATACACACAGTGTAGCAATTTTTTTTTTTATAAAAAACTTTTTTAATACAGGTGGCTCCATGTCTTACTTCGGTGAGTTGTGTCACACTGCCCTGGGCCTGTGAGAACATGGGATGGGGGGAGTTGAGGTCAGAGTCTAGTTCTTGGAATTAATATCTTGCATTAAATACCATGAGCAGCTGGGAGAACACCCTGCTGCAACCACCCTCACAGCTACAGCAGCTCCAGAAAGGCCTTGACTATACCACATAACCAACACAGAGCAGCTCTGGGTGCTTGGCCACAAAGTTTATTACAAAACTATGTACTGTCACTAGTTAAAAAAGAGGTCCCTGATTTAGTTTTCTGTGCCACGCTTTGCCCTTCTCGTGGCTACATCACAGTTCTTACAACAACCTACCACACAGGGGCATCTTCACATTAACTTCTTACAACAGCAGCTCAAAATTTAGCATTGGCTCACATTAAAACTGTTCTAAAATAGGTGGGTAAAAGTTAAATAGCTGTAAGAAAGGCCTCACGCTGCAGAAAGCTTTCAACACTTTTCCTGTGCAATTTCTCTTGATCTGAAAAAAAAGGAATAAAATATGAACATTCAGCAGTTCAATTCCTTCCCAGAAGAGTAATAGAGGTGATGAGGAGCTAGCTCTGTGTGTTGGGGCTTGGTGCTTAATCTAGTGGCCTTGCTGAGGCTAAAACAAGGCCCATCTCTGTCAAAGCGTCAGTCTTGGAGGTGCCTCCTGGACAGAACAGAGCACCTGTGTCTAGAGCCACCACTTAATGCCACAGGCCTGAGGCAGTAAAACCAGAGCTAAAGCTGCTTTCTGAAAAGAAAAAGCAAAAGCTACAGCTCAGAGCCTTGGTTCTTTAAAGACAGGAATTTTAAAAGGACCAGAGTGCATCAATCTGCATTTTGTTACCACCTCTGCACCCCTGCAGATTGTTCAGCCTGCTTTGTTAACCCTGCCTGGATTCCTCCAAGGACAAGTATTTCTAGACAGAAATGGAGGAAACATGCTGTGACACAGGCTAAGCCTGACTTTTAGCACTGGGATAGGCTCTTTACTGGAAATGGTGAAGGGCCAGCACTCCCTCCACACATCAGGAAAGAGATCTTGCAGCCCGCTCCATGCTCACCTCCCCAGGCACCCTGGGGCACATGGAGCAGGGCAGCAGCACCAAGCTGCTGCTGTGCTCACAGCAGTGCAGGGGGACAAGTGCTCCATGCTGCTGCCATCCAAACCATGGCACTTACTCAGGGCACCATTTTGATATCCACCGAGTCATAAGCTGAAGCTTTCATCTTTTCCAGTGGCTTCTTAAAGAGCTGCCGCAGGGCCTCATAGTCAGGCTTTGCCTCATACTCCAGCGACATTACTTGCTGCAGGTAGCTCTGTAGGGCATCTGCAAGGCCAACAGCATCACTTCATGGAGCAGCACAGTAGCCCCAGCTGTCTCTACAGAGCTGCCCATATGTGCCTCTCCAGCAAGGCTCATGGATAGAGACAATAGGTAGCAGTCCTCCTTGTTTTGCTGTAAAAACAAGGGATTTGTCCACAGGAGCTCATCAGTCCGTGCAGTCATTGGTCACCACTGCCAGTGGCAGCCACTGTGGATGAGCACCCCAGCACAGAGAAGGCTCTAACTTCAGGTACCCTAAATCCTCCTTCCCCAAGTCCCACTGCCACAGAGAGCAACCCTGTACCTGGAATGGATCTCTGCCTGTAGCACAGCTGGAGAAGGCATTTCACATCCTCTCTGTACCTGGAATGATCAGTGCAGAGAGCTGTCAGATTAGGAGCAATGGAGCAGGTGCCTAAGCAGCCTGTCTTGGGCAACAGGGACAGAAAAGAAACAAGGCTGAATTTAGATGGCCACATTCTGAATGGAGCAGAAAACAGGATCCATCAAACACCCTTTGGCCAGGCTCAGCTTCTACAGTGGGAGTTACCCACAGCCCTATAAGCGTCCTGTGCCCAAGTGATTTCTCTTCAAACACAAAACTTCCCTCCCTGCTTTCTGCTGAGCAAGAAAGTAGCAAGGGTAGGTGAGATGATTTCTCCTACTTTTCCTTCTTTTCCATCACAGTTTCTACTTTGTCCAGCTCATCAGACCAAGGCAAGAAGCCACATATCCATTTCAGAAGACAGTAGCCCAGAGATTCCAAGTCACTTCGGCGAGATGGTCCTGATGGGAAGAAAGATTCACAACAGAGTTTGGGAGACCCAGGCTAGTGCCTCTCCCCCAAAGGACACCAGCATTTTCTGCACAACCCTGGAAGTCCATATTTGACATGCCCCCTCTGTAGGACAGGCAGTCTCCTGAAGTGGCACAAGACTAAAGAGCAGAAGAAATGCAAGAGCTTTGTTAAGATGTGCTCTGGGCTATCAATACTTCTGGAATGCTGCTAACTCACAGTCACCTCTCAGCCTCCAGTGGAAGATTTTCCCAGTCTGCACACTGGGAGAGAACAGTCACATCCCAGCCAGGAGAGGAACTGGCTAATTTAAATATCTTCCCAGCTCTCACTGCTTCAAGGTCAGAGCAGAGCCTGTTGCTAATCTCTTTTGGGCAGGGATCCAACCTGGATTGAATCAGATCCCTGCTAAGCCAGCACAAAGCTGCCCTGTTTTCTATTCCTCGCACGCCTGCAGTAGCCAAGGCTCCAGATGGAGCACCTCTTGCTGCAGTCACTGAGTGACCTGCCAAGTCCCAATGCAGCAGCCCAGAGAGAGGCAACAGTAAACAGCCTAAACAGGAGCTTGGTTCCAGGTGCATGTGAATGCCTGGAAAGCAGGAGTAACAGAAATGCCAGCAGGGAGCCCCAGCTCCAGCCATCACTGCCACAGCAACAGCTCTAGAGCTGAGCTCGGGAGAGAAACCAACTCACCTGCACCCTTGTGGCTGTCCACACTGATGAACTCTATCGTGCCCTCGTGAGGGGTCCTGCTGCCCTCGCGCCAAGCCACATGCTTACCTCCTGGGCAATAACGGAAGGCAAAGCAATAGCCTGCGAGGGTCACCTAGAAGACATCAAGAAGTCTGAGTGTGTGCATGGTGTGAATTCTGCTCACAGTCCCACAACCCTGCACCACAGCACCTGCCTGAGCACTGCACAGGCTGCGCTGCACTGCCCAGCCCCAGGAAAACCTGGGTGTTGCTCTATCCTATTTCTCAAGCCCACCTGCACAGCATCGCTCCCTACCTGCATGTGGTCTGCTGGGTTCAAATAGATGTTCTCAGCTGTGATGTCCCCATGCACATACTCATTCTCATGGATGTACTCCAGGCAGTCCAGCTAGGAGCAAACAGAAGAGATGAGCATATCAGAGCTACACAGACTCCCTCAGCACCTTGCCTGTCACTGAGCTGGAGCCTCCCCAGCTTCTTGCAGCTGTGTAGAGAGGAAAACAAAAGTCCATGTCTCTCAGCCTCTAATGTTCAACTGTCAGGTCTCTTTCCTTATCCCAAATTCCTTCAAGGTGACATATCGTCCAAAAGATGCTACTCAAGTTTACTACTAGCTCAAGAGATACTACTGAGAGACCTCAACCAACCCCCCAAGTCAGCTTTACAGCACCTTTGAGAGATCCAGAAGAAAGTTATAGGTACTTTCTGGAAAAGTCTCTTAGGAAGTAGTGGTTCTCTACATACCAGCCGGACTACAATCTGAAAAGCTGCCTTCTCCCTCAGTAGGTGCAAGCCATCATTCAGGACAGACTGAAGAGTTCGCCCTAAGTCAGAGAACACCAAAAACCTACAAAAGACAAGGGTTTAGCACACAGCACCCAATCTGGAAACCCTGCCATAGCCACTTGCCAAGCCATCCCCCTGAGTAGAGCCCCCTTCAGCTTCAATGGGTCTGGGCAAACATTTCCAAAACTTCTTGAAAAGAGGAGAGAAGCTGATCAAGTGTTGCAGATATAAAGCCTGAGTTTCCCCTTCGGGTTAAACTTAAAAGGCAGGAATAAGGGGAAAGAAGTAGGAAGCAGCAAAAGCAATGACTTCACCAGCAACACAAGGACTGAAGGGAATGGGATAATGGGGCAAACCATTTGTTAATCAATGAGATAGGAGCAGTGCATAGGGTTGGGAGCCCAGGAGACAATGAGAAGAGGAACAGCAGACAGCAAGAAGAGGGAAAGTGCAAGGTGGTGGCAGTTGTGAATCAGCTGTGCCCTTCACAGAGTCAACTCACCTGTAGCTCTCTGCATGCAGTCCAAAGCCAACGCAATTGGGAATTCCCAGCAATGGCACAGAGTGCCCCTTCCTCCACTTCTCCACTAGAATGGGAGAAAGGAGGATAGAGTGCAGCAGATGCTGCCCAGCAGATCCAGCAGGAAGGAGCTCAGTCTGGGATGCCCTTTCTCCAATGGGTGCTCTGCCCTGGGCAGCTACAGCTGGATCCAATCTCACAGTGATTCTGTCCCAGAAATGTCAGCCTTATGTGTTGGGGTATCTGTGTGTCACTGCACAGTGCTGCAGAGCAAGAGTGGGACAGACAGGATGCAGGAATACCAGAGCAGGCTAAGGTGTGTGGTTGCTATAGAGCAAGGAAAAATAAGAAAGACAGGAGAGACGGCTAGAGAAGATTTTTATAGTCCTCCCAGAAGTGTGGGTTTGATGTGAACTCCTCCATCACCCCAGCCCATGTTTTGTGGCTCAGGTTTCTGGGTCAATGCAGTAAATACCAGACAGGAGGTGACAGAAATGCCCATGGAAGGGGCACAGAAGAAAGAAGGAACCAAGCAGGTCAGGCTGCAGGGCTGAACAGCTACAGCGAGATCAAGACAGAGGAAGAGAGCTTCAAAATGCGAATACTGCAGTATCAAGGTACACAGGGGCTCCTGGGAGAGCAGGCTCCCAGGACTCAACTTCTCAGCTCTCTGGCACTACCCAAACAGTGAATTAGTTCCTTCCAGCCTGGCCATTGGCGAGACCTGCATGACTGATGAGAAAGGGGTGGAAGTTTCCTACAAGCAGCCTCCTCCCCACCCCTCCAAGAAGCACCAACCTGTGGCTGCCTTCGCAGCTCGCTGGAAGAAATT